CACACACACATACACACACATGCATACACACACACACATACACACACATGCATACACACACACATACACACACATGCATACACACACACACGCACACACACACACGCATACACACACACGCATACACACACATGCATACACACACACATACACACACACACGCATACACACACACGCACACACACACACACACACACACACACACACACACACACACACACACACACACACACACACAAACACGCTGCCTCACTCCTGCAGCTTACTGTGGGAGAGACAGGGCACCAGGCAACACGTCAGCCTCACCTTCACTCTGGACAAACCCCTGGAGCAAGAGGCAGCCAGTGAAAAGAGGGTTCCAGAGAGGCTGCAGTCAGGGCCCCGTGCCCTGCGGCTCACCCCCACCAGCCTCGGCCCTCAGAGCCCCAAGGCCCTCCAGTCCTCACCTGTGTGTGTGCTCTGGCTTCTCGCCTGCTCCTCGAAGTGAACTCTGGTGCCTCCGCTGAGGTCATCCAGGCTGAGGAGGCAGTGCCAGCACCGCCCCTTCGTACCTGGGAAAAAAACCTGCTCTGGGAAGCAGTGTGAGTGGCAGGAATTACCCCGGCCATGCAGTTCCAAAACAAAGAATGTAGTTTCACTTTCGTGACGCATTTTCATTCAGTCACAAAAGGCAATTTGATGGGGAGAGACGCTAGGGACCCTCCACACAGGTGGCAGAAGCCGATGGCCTCGTTAATGCATTTTAACAGGGAGGCCTGCATTAATTAGCCTCTGTGCTAGGAACACGGTAGGAAGGTCCAGGCTATTTTAGGAAAGGTCCTGGCTGGGGTCCATGTTTGGTTCGGGACTCAGGGGGGCTCTTAAGAAGTGGGTACATGGGACAGTACACGTAGTCACACAGGGTTGAGCTGAGGAAGGCAGGAGCCTAGTGCCCACACCTGACACAGTCCATGGGTAGCTGAGGAAGGCAGGAGCCTAGTGCCCACACCGGACACAGTCCACGGGTAGCTGAGGAAGGCAGGAGCCTAGTGCCCACACTGGACACAGTCCACGGGTAGCTGAGGAAGGCAGGAGCCTAGTGCCCACACCGGACACAGTCCATGGGTTCCATACTCACTAGTGCCAACACAGGTTGGAGAGAGGGTCAAATAACCAGGATCCCATGATGGTTGTGTCCCTCCTGGCAGGGTGTTGGCCGTCAGGCCAGAGGTAGGGGTCCTTGTTATGTGGGGCAAGAATGTCCGGTGAGGAGTCTTGAAGGACAGCTGCGGGTTCCCTGGGTCTCCGCCACCTGTCAATGCCTTTCACAACTGAATGGAAACTATCGTGAAAGTGAAACGACATTATTTGTTTTGAAACTACAAGGCCAGGACAAAAACATTTGAAGTCCAGCCTGGCGTGGTGGTGCACACCTTTAATCCCAGCATTCAGAGAGGCAGAGACAGGTGGATCTCTGTGAGTTCAAGGCCAGCCTGGTCCACAATGCGAGTCCAGGACAGCCAGGGCTACACGAAGTAACCCTGTCTTGGAAAACAAAATAAAACAAAACAAAACAAAACAAAACAAAATCTGTCTGTCTGCCTATCTATCTATCTACCTATCTATCTATCTATCTATCTATCTATCTATCTATCTATCTATCTATCTATCTATCTA